TGTCCAACATCCCCGGCCTGTCTCTCTCTCTCTCTCTCTCTGTCTGTCTCTCTCTCTCTCTCTCTCTCTCTTGTGACCCCTTTTTCTCAAAAAACATATAATCGATGAGAAGAGTGGCCGCCAGAAGACATGCCTTCGCCCTCACGTCCATATCCAATGGGAAGAGTACGCCATAGATGTCTGCGTCGGTGAAGGTCTCCCTCAAAATTGCGGACCACCTCTTGGTGATCCTCCCGATGGCAGTGTTGGTGTCTTTGGCTAAGACATCGAACTCGACGTCTTGACACAAACGGGTCCACAGATTCTCATCGTCTGATTCCCGTTGGCGTCCGATATATGAAAGGCTGGTCTCAAACAACTGCAGTCCTGTACGACGTATCCGATGAGGTGTCCGACCGGCGCCTCCACTCGCATGTACTGAAGACAACAGAAGCAGAAACAAGTGTCACATCTGAGGGGTCGCACCAAATGCAGGACCTTTCGATTGGATGGCCCAACGATTCGCATATTGAACGCACGGTTAGGTCCGCAACAGTTACGGGTGCAGCAGTCGGTGTCCTCGGAGGCCAGGTATACATTTTGGCCCAAATTGTTTTGGATGTCGTTCTGATTGTTTGTCTCAAATCCGGTAAATGTCTCCAATATTTCCACTTTTTGTTTGACTATTAACTGATCCACTTGTAAGAGGTATTCGAGTTCAGGCGGACAGTTCACTGGCCTCAGAGTGGTTGGCTTTGGGATGTGTTGTGGTGACTGTGCTGTCATTGGACTCAACTGTCGATTATTGGGATCTTGTGGTGGATTTGCACTCATTTTATAAATCCTCTGAAGAAATCCGTTAAATGATTAAAATATTGAAAACTTAAACTAAATAATACTATACTATACTATACTTCGTTATTCACGAAACATTCATTAAATGAAAGCGCGCTTTAGATCTATTATTTGCTTTAAATCAAACTTTGATGACTGCAAATCAAATCAAACTAAAAACTGTTGATTTAATGATCAATGAATATGCCATCGATTGTGGTTTCATTTGTTCTTATGTTTCTATTTAGTGGTCATAACTCTCAAGATTATCCATCAGATCTGATTCCTGGAAGCATACCTCCGACCAGTAGTGAACAGACGAGTGAAAACGACAGCAATGCCCACAACTGGTCACCAACTGTTCCCACGGATCCCACCGTAGATCTGGAGCCCACGACACCCAACACTTCGATAGATATAATACCAGCCATTACTCGACCGCAGTCTACAATCAAACCCGAGGGCAACAAAGATGATGAAAGTGGTCAGTATATGACATGATTATGAATCTTATGCGTTGAATACATGATTGTGTCTGACCAGGGTCATCAATGTCCATTCTATACATCTTAGTGGGCTGTGCCATTGTGCTGATAGTGTTGATTATAATCGTTTGGCTCATAGTATGTCTGAAGAATGTGTACAAATCCAAGACATCGACGACCACTCGGTCGCAGACCGTCGTCGACGAGCCCATAACCGAAGGCCCCTTAGATCCACGGTATGGCCGACTCGACCCTAATCTGAATTTATCGTTAAGAATAGCGAATCCATCGGTTCCTAACTTAGACCAACATATGCCCCCTCCATGACCCCTTCCCTACCCTCTCGACCAATACTTAACAAAATTCAATGTCTCTATCGATTAAAAGTTGAGTTTTTCTGTCTTTATATTAAATTTTCTCAAAAACTTATGTTATTTAAGAAATTAATTACAAAATGAATAAAAAATTAAACAAAAAAAAAGTTTTTCTAATCATTTGGTCTCAAAACTGACTGAAAGTATAATAAGAGGACTGAAGGCGCCATCCATTGAGTGAATGAATGAAAGCATTGAAAACAATACGTAAATAAACAACGAGTGAGTCGTCCATAGAGTGAACCATCGGATGCCCGAAACCGCCGAAGAATGTCTTCGCTCTATAATTCCAGTTACTATCAGTCGCTCCCGACTACCGGCGCCATCGCTGTCACCAATGAGAAGGGAGAGAAGACTATGCAGAAGGTTAAGGTCCAGAGATATATCACTGGCCGCAGGTATGCCTCCATTTCTGTCACCACTTATTGTCTTAAATATCATTTCTTTACACTTTTCTCTCCCGAAGACCTCGTTTTGCCACAAATGAAGACCAGTCGTCATCGGAGTCCGAGTCAAGCGAAGAGAGTGACAACGAGTTGACCACTAATTGGAGGAATAGTTCGCAACAAAGAGGACAGCAATTGAACGCTCAATACGTGGGCTCTCATGTCGTGAAGACTGAGGACATCGATGTCGACGAAGACA